AGTAATTTAATTTTTTGTCACTCAGTTGTTTTTATTTATATATATATATATATATATATATATATTTCAAGAGACTGTGAGGACTTGGGTGTATGAAAAGAAATTTGTACATGTATATAATTATTTTATTTACTATAAACTCAATTAAATGATTTAACAAATATGTAATGTCAAACTTATCAGGAATACATATTAAGCATAAAAATCATAAATATGCATAGAATCAGCATTCCAACTGGTAGAAAAGTGTAGACACGCATTAAAAAAGGCACATAGTGCATGGAAAGTTTTAAGTTTTATTTTGTTAGAAAATGTTTATATAAAAATTAAAATAGCCATTTATCATTCAAATGTCTGGATTTTATCCTGTGAGTTTAATAGCCCAAATTTGGCTTTCTGATTAAGTGTTAAGATTTTCAGTATACTAAATATTATTGCTGTAATAAATTTCATTATATCTCTGGAAACATTTCTGATTTTATTTTATTGATGTATCTGTGCCTGTTTTACTTCATTAAAAGATCAGCTATTGAAACATCAGTAGTTTGATTTGTAAATAAATGTTTTTATATATGAAAATGAATTGGTACATACACAGATGGTTTTAACTATTAAAATTGACTGTATTGTAACCTGTTAAAATTGATATATTACTTGCAGTCAACTTTTCTTGTTTTTATCCTTAAAAATTTCATTTTTTAAACTCTCAATTCAAATTGTATACATTAATATATATATTCAAAAGTACAGGCATCTGAATGAAAACGTATTTTGTACAGAGTCACCCACTTCACCATCCTGATACAACAGCTAGTATTGCAAGTGGACTTGTGTCCTCTGCTGCAGCATCAGTTGCCTCTCTTTGGCGAGCTGCAACAGGACAAAAGTGAATTGAAGATGAGTTGTGACCATGGTAACCATCTTATTGCAAATTGGTAGTCATTCAGTAAATGCTGGCTCTTCTTATTTTATTGAGGTAATTTACTAAGAGAGACAATTGCAGAAAATTGAATGACATAAGGCAGGTAAAAAAAAAAAAACTCTATATGCTTTGAACATGTGATAGAAAAAATACTTACTAATCATAAAATCAAAACTACTTTTATTACAAAAATGAAGTACAGTATTTATAAACCATTTTTATAGAAATAATTAATTTTAGTGTGATTACTCTCAGAAACTGGTAGAAGATTATATTATTTTGTTTCTTATGCTACAAGGAGTAGATTGGTCAGTTTTGGTCTGAGTGTGTTATTAACATGTGCTATTCTGAATTTATGACATTTGCTTTAAGCATATGTGTTATTGCATAGACAAGCTAGAAATGTAATTAATTTCAAAAGTAGCAGTAGCTACTGGAGTGTAACTGTTTTTCATGGTTCTTTCTGCCCAATTAATGGTATTTGTTGTTGTTAATATGAAAAGAACTTTAGTTGATCATTGGTTCTCAGCCTAACTCAATTTAATATGTAAATAGTACATATTAGATCATAGTTAATAAACTATATTAAATGGTTTTGTTTCAAATATCAAATATAATGCTTAGTTGTTAAAGATATACATTTGACTTAATATGCCTTCTACGTCAAACAGTAAGTTAACTTTTTCTTAGTATTACACCTAAGTGAAATTCTAGTCCTTATAAGGATGTTTTAAAAGGTACTTGACAGGGTTATTACTGATATTAAGTAGTCCTTTAAAAATGGGTTTCAGAATTTGATAGTATTTTTATGATAATTGAATTTTTTGTTATTACTCTTTAAGCTTTCATATTGCTACTTTTAACATAAAAACCAGATGCTGTATTATATAATAACTTACATGCCTCAACATTCATGGCATAATTAAAAAGTGTACATAATTTGATATGGTGTTTAACTCCTTTTAGAAAAAAAATTCAGCCATGTTAAAAACCTATAGTCTGAATTTTTTATAGATACTCCATATTTTGAATTATGTGATTTTACTATGTAGTATTAAAATTAAAAGTATGTAGTATTAGTATTAAAACACATTAAAATTTTTCATTATAATGTTAGAATCATAATACTTTTATTATTATTATAACTAAAACCAAGTTAACAACTCAGGTATTGTTACAGTAGTTCCTACTGGCAAGTAAGCTTCACAGTTTTACCAAGAGGGACGGGAATAAATAAGAAATAATAACATCAAATGCATACAATAAAGTTACCAGAAGACAAAACTTAATAAAGTGAGACTTTGCCAAATTACTACACAAAATAAACTAGATGAAAAACAAATTTTGTTGCTTTTAATTTTTCTAGATAAAATTAGAAAAAGTAATTTAAAAATAGAAAAATATTAAAAAATTTAAATACACTTTTTGTAATTCTCAGTCTAAGTACTTCAAGTGAAAATATATCTTCAAATTATGTATGGGAAATATTGCTAAACTGTCAAATCATCAGTGATGTTTAGTTAACGAGAATTGTTAAAAAAAAGTTTGTTTTCAGTATCCATTGGAAGGTTTGAAATAGAAGTGGTAATTCTGTTTTGAATAATGAATTAATCTAAAATATATTTACACCATTAAGAAAAGGATTTTTTAATTTTAATTTCTCCCACTGTATGGTTTGTTATAATGCTGGATTAATGGCAGGAGATAGTTGTGTAACACTGCACAAGTTGTGCCAATTTAGAAAATATTTTTGGACCTTATTTATTTTATATATAAATTTTATGTTACTGTTAGGATTTCAATGTCCCCATGCAATCTTTATTAACCTTTAATCTATTTAATTTGAAATATCCTTACAAATAGTTATTCTTTGTAAACAAACATTTGCTATAAATGTTGTAATTAAGTAAAACTATAAAGTTATAAAAAAGTTGGCTGGTAAAACTCATAAATAACTTTGAGTATCTGACACATAGTGAATAAGTGGATTTTACTATAATAAGGCAACCCATGTGAAGATTCTAGTTTGGTGCTGTATGAATAAAACCTTGTCAGAACATCTTCATTTTTGTTTACATGTATCAAATCAATATCATATGCAGAAAAAAAAGATTTCCCAGAAAAACTGTGTTAAAAACTGGGTCAACCACTGTTCAGAGGTTATGAAGAATTTAAGCTAATTTCAATATTGCACTGAAAAGAATGTTTATTTTGAGGTAATTTAATTAAATATTTCAATCCATTCGTGTTATTCATAATTCAAGAAAAGATATTTGATTGTTGATCGAGAGTAAAAGGAAAGACCATTTCATTTTTTAAAAAAGTGAAGTAAGAAGTTTCGGTAGTGTGAATGATGTTTTTGACTGAGAAAATAAGCAAACAAACAATCTCAGAGTTTTAGTAATGTATAGATAGTATTCTTACAGATCTTAGTTTTTT